CATCTCAAGAAACTGATTAATAATCAGGAAAAACTTAAGGTTAGGGAGTAACCAGACACTTAGGAGCCTGCTTGAAATGCCTATGGATAGCAGATATACTGATGGGCTATCTCATGGTTTCTTCAGAAACAATAGATAGCTTGCAGCACCAGGGTTTTGGATTTTTACTTGTGAACAAGCCTCAGTTCAGCATGACTTTTCCAGACCTTACTATAGTCTTTTAACAGACTTAAGGCAATTATCGGAGCGTTTATAACCTGTGGGGAGAATTTCCACCAGTCATCCCGGGAAAAGTATGACAACACTTGTGGTCAGGTCTCGAGAAGAACAGCAGGTGGTGAGAGAGAGAGAGAGAGAGAGAGTTCTCCTCTTGAAGCGCGCACACACTTTGCTACTTTTTTTACAGATTTTTATACTCTCGGTTCAGCTTCAAAGCATTCTCAATAGTGTAAATCATTGTCTTTTCTCTTGACAAGGGGTTATCTAGTTTGGAACATCTCAAGAAACTGATTAATAATCAGGAAAAACTTAAGGTTAGGGAGTAACCAGACACTTAGGAGCCTGCTTGAAATGCCTATGGATAGCAGATATACTGATGGGCTATCTCATGGTTTCTTCAGAAACAATAGATAGCTTGCAGCACCAGGGTTTTGGATTTTTACTTGTGAACAAGCCTCAGTTCAGCATGACTTTTCCAGACCTTACTATAGTCTTTTAACAGACTTAAGGCAATTATCGGAGCGTTTATAACCTGTGGGGAGAATTTCCACCAGTCATCCCGGGAAAAGTATGACAACACTTGTGGTCAGGGCTCCAACGGACTGGACGCTGTGAGGAACCCCTTTACCATTGTTCAAATGTTGCCCATACCCCCTCTGACTTGTTCTCTTTGCCTCAGCATTCCCTAACCTGGCAACCGAGCTTTAGTCAATCAAGTTTAAATAGGCCTCCCATAGTGAGACCGGGGAATATACAGCCTGAGATGCCTATTAAACTTGGGGGGGGAGGGGGGCGTCCTTTGTAAATCCAGATTAGAACTGGTCTGATAAATGCTGAGCTGGGTGTGTGTAAACATGGGTTGATTAGCATTTGGAGCACAGATTCCCCATCATGCAGTGCTCCCCTGCTTCTCTGATCCCAGAATTCACTGCAGTCTCTGCTTCGGGCTTTCTGTTCTCCATCTCCCATGTAAATGAGTTGTCATCTGGTTCCATTTCGGATGCAAATGAGACCTAGGGCTCATCCTAGGGCAGTTGTTTCACTCTTGTCACCCTTATCTGGAGGGTTTTAGGTGCATCTCCCACTGCATCTTCATTGTCTTTTGTAATCAGTTCTTGTTCAGGTGATGGGGGGGGGGGGTCCTTTGAATCAGGCTGCATCCTGTGCCAGTGTTCCCCAAGAACACAGAGCTGAGAGGTAACAGTGGAGAGCTTTAGCTTTCCTGCCAGGGACCTGAAGCACATGTATGCTCCAGCTTCTGGGCTATTTCTCTACCAATAAGAATTTCAGAGAAATTCTTCAATCAAAATAATCAAATCAAGAGAAATAATCAAAACTACAAATATAAAATGGGTGACACCTGACTGGATGGCAGCACTACAGAGAAGGATCTAGGAGTCTTGTTAGGTCACAAACTCAGTATGTTTGCAGTGTGATGGACCTGCCCAAAAGGTGAATGCTGTTTTGGGATGAATCAATAGAAGCATAGGCTCAAGACATGGAAGGTGATAGTGCCATTCTATTCAGCATTAGAGTACTGTGTGCAGTTTTGGCCTCCACAATTTAAAAAGTACATGGAGAAGTTTGAGGGTCTGGAGACAGGTGTCAAAAATGATAAAGGGCTTAGAAGGCAAATCCTACGAGGGGAGGTGGAAGTAGCAAGGCATGTTCAGCTTTTGGAAAAGGTGCTTAAGAGGACATAATAGTAGTCTTCAAATGCCTGAGGAGCTTCTTGTTGTAGAGAGCAGGATGCAGACCAGTGGCTTGAAAATACAGCAAAGTAGGTTTAGTTTTGTATCAGGAAAAACTGATTGACTGTTAGAACAGCGAGGCACTGGAATAGATTGCCTAGGGAAGTTGTAGAATCTCCAGGTCCGTATCTTCTACTCTGGGTATTTCCAATGCTTCTGGGTTTTATTGGTTGCCACATGGGGCTGGGAGGGAATTTTTTCTTCTTTTTGCTGCTACATATATCAGGGTTGGTTGGTTGTTTTTAAGCCTTCCTCAGAGGCATTGTGTGTTGGCTACAGCCAAGAGTGGGGATTTTGACTGGGGTGTAGGATTGCTGGAATTTAAAGCCAGAGGCTCCTGGCTAGTGGGTCTTGCCCCTCCACACGGGGTCAGACCAATTACCATATTTAGGATCAGGAAGGAATTTTACTCATTGGCCAGGTTGGTACCACTGTAGGGATTTTTGTTTTCCTCTATAACAAGGGGTGTGGCCCTCTTCCTTAGATCTCTTGAGCATTTTATTAGCAACCTTTGCAGGGGCCATGGTCCTCCTGCTTTACCTGTAGCAGATTAGGATGTTGTGTTTTGTGTTGTGTCAGGTTCACTGTGTACTTTTGCTAAGAAAAATCCTAATGGATTTAGTTTGGGATAAATTGGGATAAACCCCCTCAGGCAGGACGTTGCACTGTATGATCATACGTTGCACTGTATGATCTCTTATGGTCCCTTCCGATCATAGCCGGATCTAGGATTTTGAAAAGAGGGGTGCAGATGGTGTGGCATTTCATCGCATAGAACACAACACACATTTTATTCCGGTTAAAGAGAAACCAGATGCTTTACTAATGTGCTAGGGGCCTAGCACTATATTATTCAGTTTAAGATCAAAGAAAAACAATTATAACTGTTGGAATGTGCACTCATTTGCTAGATTATACATAAAGTTAAAACAACACAACAAACTAGACAAAAAATGGTCAGAAGACATTGTGTCAGTAGTCCTGTTGTCATTATAGTGAAATATGCAACTCTTATTCAATTCATAAAAACAAAATCTAGACTCCTTGAGCATCCTGATCATGCACTGTCAGTCACTTCTACACCCGAGTTAATGTTACTACGCCTGAGTTAAGGTTTTCAGCTAGAGCAAAAAACAATCTGTACAGCTTTGAAATAAATACATTACAAGGAATGGCTAAGAGACAGCAAATTTGTAGAAGAAAGGATAGTTTGAATAGTGAAACATCAAGACCATTGAAAAGGAGAGATGGCCATTAACACTTGTGGAGTGGAGAGAGATTAGCTGGAATCAGGGAGATGATAATGAGTCATCAAGCCAATTAACTGTTAGCACTGCCTGAATAGAAATGCTGCTGTGCTTCCTAGGCAGTTGGTTTTAAATTTTGGGTGGAAAAGGAATGTTGGGTGGAACATCTGCACCACTGCATCCCCCCTGGATCTTCCCCTGCTGCCAGCCCTATTTCTCTATGATTTTGTTTGCAATAAACCCTATATAAAGGATTAAACTCATGAAAACTGACAATAGGTGGAATCTAGCTGGAATCTTTTACTTGTATCAGTTGATTTTTATTTAACAATTTCTTTTTAGGATTGTAAGAAGACTGAATATGATGCTTGCATAGTTGAGAACTGTCTCAATGCAGTGGAGTGGGCTTATCGAATGCTTCCTTTCTCTAGATTCATGAATGTTGAAGAACTAGTTCAAGACATAATTTTGAGTCTTGTTGGAGAATTGCCACCAATCAGAAAGGTAAAAGAAATTAAAATGTAAAAAAATCTTATCACAAGGTTTTAGTTTCATTCAAAATACAGTTTTTAGCACTCAATAATGTAAATTCTGTTGGGAATCTTACTATCACTTACTTCCCCATTGGCTGTTTAAGTGATCCCTTAACTTTTATTTTGTATAGGTGGCAGAAATTTTGGTGAAAGCATTTCCTAATCCTGAAGATATAAGAGTTCCATTAAAGGATAAATATTATGCCCTTCAGCAGCGACTCAGGCACTGTATTGTCAGAGGTAAGGTGCATTATTCTTCAGAAAATATAAAACCAGACTGGTTTTGATGTTTCTTAGGAGCAGTAGTCGTATATAGCATTTATAGTTCTGTCCTTCAGATCAAGTATTAAACAGTTGTTCTTTGTCCAGGTAGAAACATAACATGTCTGGGGGAACTTGAGAAGGAGTGTTAAACAAGAAGAGAAAGGAAAATATTTACCCTTTTTGACTATCGTCTGCTTGGCATAATCAGTTAACTGTTTGTATTTGCCCCTCAGTTTTCACATGTACAATTTAGCATTCTGTTTTGAAACTTTAGATACTTGATTTTGAACAATAATTCAAAATGCAATAATTCAATTTGTTTCAGATACTTGAAATAAATAGGGAAACTGATTGATGGACCATTACTACTATAGAGGAAATAGTGAAAGTGGTTTGAGCACAAGGGTAGTATTTTTAGTGTAAGCAAATCTGGAGGGAGGGATTTCTTCTATCTTTCCTATCTGATAATCATAGTTGTTACTTATAACAATATTAGATACATTTTCTCACATAAGTATAACTTTGAAGTGGATGGTGTTTGTTTAATAAGGAAATAAATAGTAATTAAAATTAAATGTATATATTTCTAGATGGCTAGAACTTACCAGTGATAAGAAAGTAAAGATGACTTGAGAGAATTCCTTGATAACTAAAGTACTAAAAAATTCATCTTTATTCTTCTGAATTTGTGAAGTTTATCATGTAAAGTACATCCTATTTCCTCGTAATTGTGGATTGCATGTGAAAAATCTGTATTCTGCATTTTAAAAATACTATCTCTTTTTCTCTCTCTTTCATTTAGGTCCTAAAAGTGAGGAGATGATGTCTGTTGTTATTGAGGTTACCCATAAAGTGAGGCTGAAAGCCCTGAAACGTGTAATAAGAAATATAGGCCCCCTTGAAATGAGTATCTGGGAGCCAGCGGAAGAGGAGACTCCAGATGATGAGGCACAGTGCTGTGATAGATTCTCATTAGGGACCAGTCTAAGCAGAAGTACACTTACAGATTTTGGATATCCTCTTGTATACAGTGATGCTGAAACAGCAGATACTCTCTCTGAGGCTTTACTTATAGAAAAAGCAAGAGATCAGGTGCCTTCACTGCAGAGGTAAAAAGAAAGTAATACATTGGAACATTCAATACAACAAAAAATAAAACAAAAATCTACTGTAAGATTATTTCTTACCTCATCTCACATGCCTTCCTCAGCTATTTAATACACAGAACTTTACTCAGGCTTATTTAACATATGTCTCTCTCTTGTATTTTTAATGCATTTATTACAGGATCGTAAAAGTAGGCTGAAGGAAGGAGATTTCGAGAGAGACAGAAGTCATACTGGCAGAGGGATACAAGGGGCAAGGGCAAGAAATTCTGGAGGGAAACACTTTTTAAATTTAAACTAGTCAGAGTATTTGTCAAACTCTACTTTTTTAACCTAGACCTCTTCATTCTTGTTTCTTACCTGCTCAAAAATACAGTTTTGTGTAATAATGAGATTAGGCTGTTAAATAATCCATCTAAATTTAAAATGGAGTGGTTTATGTATTTAAACAGACCGCTCTAGCAGCAGCTACTGCAACTGGTAGCTGGAAATAGGAGGTGTATACTGGGCCTGTTAGTCCTTCTCCTGTTCATTCATTAAATCCACCAGAGGCTTCGCTAGGGTACTTAGCCCCCATCATCTTCTAAGACCTTTGCTTCTCTTAGGTATGCTCCCTAAGAGATATCAGATTCAATTACATTTAAACCTATATATTCTGTCCCTGAGATCTTTGCCTTCTAGGGTATGTCTATTTTTATGTAACAGAAGGAAAGAAAAGAACAGTTGCATGAATTGAATTTTTCATTTAATAATTTATTTAAAAGAAGGATTTGTTCCAGAGTTAGCTATATTTCTCTTTGTTTCTTTTGCTACGTTGCAGGGACACAGAGACTCATAAAGGAGGAAAAGATGATAAGATAAAAGATCTCAATAGAAAAACAAAACATAAAGAAAATGTGCACAGTAATGCCTGTCTGAATCAGTATAATTTGCCTGTGGTAGGTGCATGGGAATTTGAACGTGATGATGAAGAGTACATTAATTTCTTAGAACTCTTTTTGAGTTATATGCTTGAAAGAGACTTGATAAATTGCCCTGATCCTGGGATTCCTTTTCTGACCAGCTTTTCTGGACTCCTTCGGGAACATGAACTAAACTCTCTCCTTTTTGATGTTCATACAACATTGAAACGTCGAATGGAGAAAACTACAAGCCAAAATGTATTTAGAACAGGTTGCTGCTATACTGTTGTTCCTGCATCTTGTGATTCCAAGCCAACTTCTGTTTGTAATAAAAAGCAAAAACATTTGGAAAGACAAATGTCTTTTTCAGTTTTACAGCCAACAGAGCCTTCTGTGTATGACTCTGTGAATGGAATAAATAAATATGCAGGAAAGAAGGGATTATTTGGTTTAAGTCATCAATCAGTTTATAGAGCGCGAGATGATAAACAAGAATTAACTGTTCTACCTGTAACCCAAACCTTATCAGACCACGCTTGCTCTTTTCTGCACACTCCAGCAACTTGTAAATATGTCTACGAAATAATTCACCAGGATATTACACCAAGAGAAGAACTTGCTCTAGACCTGAAGAATAAGTTTAGCAATATTGCAAGATTGCTTGAATGGATGATCAGATGGTCTGACAAGAGGCTACTATGCGATTCCAACAGAATTGAGTCGTTTCAGGAGAGCTACCCAATGATGCATGTGAAAACATCAGCAGCTGCCATACTTACATCACTGTGGCTTTTGGAACAACCATACTGTGATGGATTGCAAACAAGGACCTCAAGCTTTAAGGTAAGAAAAGAATGGAGTAGGTGTCAGACAGAGGATGGATTTTTAATTACATTGACTCAAAATTTAGATAACTGAATTTCATATCCCAGATTTTGTATATTTATAGGTACTCTTTGGCTGTCCCTTGATACGAGGAGGATGTCTGCTGAGGGGGAGGGAAATTATTGGTGAGTTTAAGATAGCTGAAGAGTCCAATCCATGCTCTACAGGTTTTTCCACAGATATATCAGGTAGTGCGCTGGGGTGGGCACAGCTGTTGGCCACAATACTGTGTGCTTTTCTTCTTCTGCTGCCATTTCTCAGCTTCCTGAGCAAGATTGTTCTCTTTGAAGTGCACTGTAGCTTGTTGTCTGGTGCAGCGCAATGGAGACCTGTTACCAGCCAGCACTTCCCAATTTGTAGGGTTGATGCCACCCTTCTTAAGGTATGCTTTCAGGGTCTCCTTGTAGCACTTCTTCTGTCCTCTGTGGGCCCTCTTACCATGATTTCTGGAACTGGGGTTGAAAGAGGAGGACTTGTTTTGGGAGACAAATGTCAGCCATCTGCACACAGTGGCCCTCCCAGCAGAGTTGATGTTTCGTTTACTTCAGTGCTGGTTATGTTAGCTGCAGAAAGGATGTACAGTGGTCTTCCCATCTAATGCAAAGGATCTTCCTGAGGTAACACTGATGGAACCATTTCAGGAATTTAAGATGGCTCTGATATGTCACCCATGTCTCGTATCCATAGAGGAGCATGGGAATAACCACTGCATTGTAGACCAGAATCCTCAGTTTCTATCTGCAGATCTTGGTTAGCAAAGACATGGTAAAGCAGCTTTCCAAAGGATATGCTGACACAGCGAGTCCTGTATTCAATCTCTACATCAAGACTGACTGACCGGGAGAGGTGGCTGCCAAGGTATGGGGAATGCTTGACATTTGCCAGGGGTTCTCCACCTTTGATAACTTGTGAGGGGAGGGGGGAAGCTTATACTGAGGCAGGCTGATGGAGCACCTTAATTTGAAGGTGCCACAAGTTGAAAAGCTGGCCATTCATTTGATACTCAGCCCCAGTTCCAGAAGGCAGGCAGTCAAGGATGAGAAACAAAATCACAGCAAGACAGAGAAATGGGTTGAGGTGATGACGCAGCCCTGCTTGACACCAGTATGGATGGTAAATGGGTCTGTTTCTGATCCATTGCAAAGGACTGGCAGTTATCCCATCGTGGAGTAGCCTGAGGATGCTTATGAACTTCAGTAGATGGACAACCAACCCTAGCTAGCACCTTCCATAAAGCTTCATGATTAATGGAGTTAAAAGCCTTGGTTGTCAATGAATGCCATAAACAGCTCCTGGTGTTTTTCTCTACACTTCTCCTGGATCTGTCGTGAAACAAAAATCATGTCAGTGGTACCCTGTGATGGTCTAAAAGCCACACTGGGATTCTGGAAGGACATCTTTGGCAAGGGAGTGAGGTGATTCACAAAGGTGCAAGTAAGAATCTTCCTGGGAATGGAGAGGAGGGCAGTGCCTCGGTAGTTCCCACACACTGACTTGTCCCTGTTCTTGAAGATGGTCACAGTGTTGGCATTAAGTCAGTTGGAGCTTCCTTGTTAACCCATATTTTGATGAGAAATTGGTGAAGTTTTTGTGCTAGTGCTGTTCCACCAGCTTTAAAGACCTCTGCAGGAATGTCATCTGAGCCTGTGCCATCTAGTCCTTATTGCCTTACTGTTCTTGGTCTGAGTGATGACCTTCCAGACTTCCTTGAAGGATGGGGGATCAGCAAGAGATTCTATTACTGGGTGTAGATGGATGGACTCAACGATGGCAGCTGAGAACTCAAATTCATGGTTGAGTAGAGTCTTGAAGTGCTCTTTCCAGCATTGCTTGATGGATACTCTATCCATGAGAAGGGTGAAGCTGTCCTGGGATTGCAAGGGGGTTGGGCCATTGGAACATGGCGCATGTATGGCTTTCATTGCTTGAAAGAAGCTTCTCACATGTTGATCAGCAAAACTCTGGATCTCCAGGGCCTTCACTTGCCACCACTGGTTCTTGATGTCCCGTAGCCTCCTCTGAACTATAGCTGTAAGCTGGTGGTAAGTCTCTCATTCTGGCTGGTTAGAGGGTTAATTTTGCCATCTGCAGAACACGGTTCTCTTCTGATGGATAAGTGCTAGGATTTCCTCATTATTCTCACTGAATCAGTCTTGATGATGGTAAGTGGAGTATCCAATTGATTTCAGCACATGCCTTGTGAATAACGTTCTTAAGTTCCTTCCAATGTGCTTGGATGTCCTTGGTGTCACATCAGGTAGGTCAGAGAGCCTCTCATCAAGGCATTGCTGAAGAGCCCTCATATCTAGCTTGGTTCTGGAGTGCCTTGATGTTAAATCTCTTCTGCATTCCTTTCGATTGTTTATGGTGTTGTGGTGCAAGCTGCATGTCCATGATTGACCTGACTAAAAGGTGGTCCATCCAATAGTCATCTGAACCTTTCAGGACTTGGGTGATATGGACATCGGTATGATCACAAGCTCTGACACTAATATAGTCAAGAAGGTGCCAGTGATTGGAGCATGGGTGTTTCCAAGTAGTCTTATATTTGTCACTCTGTCTGAAGACAGTATTTGGGATGAGCAAGTCATGTTTTGCACATTTGCTGAGGAGGAGGATACCACTGGAGTTGACTATCCTCACCCCCTCTTTCCCAGTGGTGCCACTTCAGAGTTCAGAGTGTCGCACAACTATTGCATTGAAATCACCCATGACGATGAGCTTGTCTTCCTTGACAGTGGCGGTCAGGACTGTCAAGAGCACAGTAGAACTGTTCCTTGTGACCTCTTCATTGTCAAGTTCAGGGGCGTATGCACTGATGACTGTAGCATACTGGTGGTTACTGAGCTTGAGGTAGAGAGTCATAAGGTGTTTGTTATTTCCCACGGGGAGTTCTGAAAGCTAACAATTTTGTTCTTTATGGCAAAACCAACCCTGTGAATGCGCCTCTCTTTAGGTGTTTAGGTTGTAGCTGTGTTAGTCTAAGGACATAGGCAGACAAGGTTCCTTGGGTGAATTTGATATCTTTTATTAGACCAACCCAAATAGTTGGAGAATATTTATTAAGCAAGCTTTCGGGTTCAAAAACCCTTTGTCAGGCTAAGGAAGTTTCAGCAGTTGGTGTGTGCTCTTCCTGGATGGAAAACTTCTTTAGGTGACTTTCCTTTTCAAAAAAAGGTGTGACCACCCTCTTCTTTCAGCTGGCTTTCATGTGCCCAGGTGGTTTCGCTTAGGGCAGCAATATTGATGTCATATCTTGCAAGTTTTCTAGCTACTATGGTGGTTCTTCTTTCAGGACACTCACTGTTCAGGGAGTCCACTGTTCAGCAGACAGTCCATGTGGAAAATTTCAGTACTTTATTTTGTTGGTTTTGGCTGCAGGTAGAGTGGTCCCACTGGATGTGGCAATCCAGCCAGGGAGTTTTGAGACAGCCTATGTTTAGGGCACCTCTTCTAGCCCCTTCCCCATTCAGGGTGAGCAGAGGGGATCCTAAAAGGGTCTGCTTGGTCATGGCTGCAGCTGCCAAATTGTACTTTTGTTTCAGTAAGTTCAAAACAACTATCACATGATTGCCACCTATGTGCAGATTTATGACTAGGGACTCAGAGAGCCTCCCAGAGATTGCTGTTCCTGTCCCCACCAGCACTCGTCCATTGCCGCAGCACTTTGTTTGCGGGAGATGTTAACATCTCTGGCAGAGGCCTGCACGTGAAATCTTTTAACATGGGGAAGCCAGTGCACAAGTGACAGCTACACAAACTTGACAGGAAGGAGCTCTGAACACAATGGCAAGGGCATCCAAGACAACCAAAGACCTCCATCCTGCTGCAGCCCTCGTCCACCTTCACAGCCTAAGAGATCCAGCAGGTCCTCAAGTATGCCTGTTCCACCATTGGGGTCTTCAGGAGTTTAGATCATGCTTAGTCTGTGATTTCGCCTCAAACCTGTTCACCAAGGGAGACCCTACCAGGAGTACAAGACTCCAGACAACATAGTTCTGAGGGTCACTGGAACACACAAGCCTCTCCACCATGACAAGAATATGGTCCAAGGAAAGGTGTAAGTACTAAACCGTAACAAAATTCAGCAACCAAGGTCTCCTACCAGTAGCCCATTAACTGACATGTTGCAGTTCTTAATGAATACACTTTAGGAACTATATAACACATATAAGGCTATGTTTTATCTCCATTAAAATATTTGCAAAGGTATTTGCATCATATTTTCTCACATACCTTGAGCACCTTCCCCCCTACCATTCCTCTCCAAAAAGAAAAAAGAAAGCTGCTGGAAATTGGGAGTGAGAAACTTGTATGTGAGGGAATAAAGTAAAAGCAGTTTCTGCCGCTTAAGCTTTGGCCAGGTGAAAGCAAAAGTAAAATCTGCACTAGATCCACAGGAACCAGAATAGTGAGCAGGCTCAGTTCCCTACTGTTCCTATTCAGTTACTACAAGTAAAGATCTTATTTTCTTCACTCTGCCTTTCAAACAAGGGGCACTTATACACGTGCCAGATGTCTGCTCCGACGCATGTAAATTAGTAGCAGGGAAGAAACTACCACTTTTTTTTTTAAGCAGTAGTTGTATTGAACACCGTGTGAAGTTCTTATTGCTTGCTGATTGCTTATGACTTACCTTAGTTGTGTTCCAGTAAAGGTTAGAATACTGAGTAGGAGCCTCTCTGTAAGAGGTTGCTAGGAACACAGAAACATTCCAGGAGGGCTGGAGTTCTTTCTGCAAGGGATTTATTTGGTACAAAGACTTGGATTGGAGATACAGGTGTATAGTTCTTTGTTATGAGGGTCTTATTTATCTAGGTACTGTAGTATTTCATAGAAAGTTAGGGTTGGAAGGGACCTCAGGAGGTCATCTAGTCCAGCTTCCTGCTCAAAGCAGGACCATCCCCAACTACATCATCTCAGCCAAAGCTTTGTCTAGTTGGGTCTTGAAAACCTCC